AAAATCATTCACCAGTTAAATATCTGCCGTACAGACGTGACTACTTGTATCCTGGCAGGACGTCGCGAGGAACCAGCGAGCAGCAGCTTCTAGTGTCCATGGCCTCGACGTGCGTAGACATTTGAGCGATGGCGCAGCAGCCGCACCACATGACGGTGCACGTATCGGACAGCAACGACCCAGGGATATCGAACAATTGACGCACGCGAGAGCGGAGGACGGCCAAGAAACCGATGAAGTTGAGGGAGCATGCAGTTGCGATGGCATTTACGAGAGGCCGTTGCAGAAAACTCAAGCCAAAGCTTGCGACGTAAAATACACCAGCGACGACGAGAACGAGAACAAATTGGCCGAGGCCGACGCGTTGGGCGATGTGACCCACGGGGACGCAGGGCGCAACGACCGATAAGAGGCTTAGCGACAAGTTGAACGACGAGAAGGCGAAGAGGCTGGTGCGCCATTTGTACAATGGAATGCCATTCGTGTCGGTGGTCTGCTCCCCCGTCAGCGTCGGAATGTCGTCCTGGATAATCGTGAGCTCCGTGTCGATGTACTTGACGATATTGTCCGCATCGTTCGCCATCGTTGAGTCACTCATGGCGAACGCGACGGTCGGCGTCGCCGCCGACACACTGGACGCTCGCTTCTTGTCCATGATGGCTGGCGACTTTCTGCTTGCGACTTGATGGTGTGGCGGCACAATACACTTCACCCACGGTCGTGTAAACTGGACTAGTCCAAATACGCCGATTTGATTGGATAATTGTATGTGATATTGCCAGATTTTGATAAATCGACGAAAAGCGGTAAAAAAGCTGAATCTCATCCGTTTAACTGGAGTTACAGCTGGAATTGCCCACCATTACGTGTTTTTCCCTCAGCGTAGTTCCGTTCTGAAGATATTTCCCAATTCTACAAAGGGATATTCTGGCTCATCCCACGGACGTCGTCAAGGCATCGGTGAAGCAGCGAGGTCGAGACGATCTCATGCCGACCATGAACGACAGAAAGTTGAATGGACGACGGGTCAAGGAATACAAGAGGGGGGATGGGCGACATCATTTTACACGCCACGACATGGATACAGCATTCATATCAACACACCCCACCCACAGGCTATTCTACCGCCTCGGGTGTCGGTCGCCGCTTAGGCGCACCACGTGACAACGTACGCTTCGTCCAAGTGGCAGTTGCGTGTCTTGGTATCATCAAATGGCCAGTGGTACGCGTCGGGGCAACGTTCCCACATGCACTCGATGGAGCGGCAGTTGAAGTTGTTGTTGTTGGCGATGTATTGGATGTCTAGCTTCGCCTTCACATTGAATCCTTTGACGCTCCCACCCTTCGAGCACGCGTCCCAACTCGTGCCTTGGCCGCACTACCGAAGTATAGTTCAGCCACCCACACACGCGATAGCATACTTTTGGGTGTAGGAACTTACGTTAGGCGGGATCACGCTAAAATCGTACCAAAACTTGCCTCCATCGCGGCATACTTCGAACACTACAAGTCATGCATGAGAACCTCGAGTGACCACAACGAAGTATGTGCGCGCAACGTACACGTAGCTTCAGGCGAGCGACCCACACGCACCGTCGCGATGCTGTAGCCTGGGGCCAAGTCGTAGAATTGACCAGATTCTACCGTGATGAAGCGGTCCTTGTTGTCGACAGAGATCATGAATTCAACAGTGCGACCGCAATTGTTCACATTGCGCAGCGTCCCTTTCCCGATCGGGGCGGTTGGCGCAGGGGTTGGAGCAGGGGTCGGAGGGGGTGTCGGAGCCGGGGTAGGGGCAGGCGTCGGAGCAGGCGTCGGAGCTGGCGTCGGTTCCGGAGTAGGCTCCGGTGTGGGTGCCGGAGTCGTCGTCGTTTGTTCAGGCGTCACAATCAACGACTCAAGGGCGCTCGAGTTCGCGGACTCGGACGTGATGTTGTTGGCCAGAGTGAAGTTATTCGTAGCATCGATGTCCGTGTCAACACCCGTCACCACCGATGCGACGACGAGCTCGCCATTCGGAGCGGTTGGGACGGCCGTCGAGGGCGATGAAAGGCCACTTGCTTGGGACGCATCCGATGTCTCGGTGGACGTGGCGACAATGACCCCGATGGCTGTCCCAACAACGACGAGCGCTGCCGCCAAGATGACAAGGATCTTTTTGCGCTTTGCCTGCTGGAGCGATAACTCGTACTCATCCGAGTCCTTGTCGGCCAACGATCTGCTTGGCATCCAGTCCGTTTCGCGCCACAGCGACAAGGCAGTGGCGGGAGGCGCCGTCGTTGGCGTAGTAAGCTCGCTCTCGGCCGTCATAAGAGTAAGTTACCGTGAGGCAAACGTAGAAGTGCTGGTGGCACGCCGAGGCCGCCATGTAAAGACCAGCACAGCTCGTCTGGCGGGTTCAATGTGAAACGTTGGGCCTTGTCCCACCGTGACTAATGGGTGCTGCGACGTGGATATAATTTGACCAACTATTGATAGTACTCTCGTCCAATCTGTTCATAGTACAAGAAGGGGAAAGGTAGCAGAGCAGCACCAACACCCATGCGAAGGAACGACATATCGCTTCGGCACTTGCAAACGAGGTAGAATGGATGAATCGAGGCACAGCTTGCAGTATATTCTCGTGTGTGCAGAAGGACGTATATTTTGAAACGTGCATTTTAGACAGGACTATTGTGCTCGGCTTCGTGTTCGCGTTGCGATAGGCGAGCCAATCACAGGTGATGAAAACGTTTATGGTAAATCCGATTGGTGGATGAAAAGTACAGGTTGCGTTAGTCGTAGACTAGCTGTGAATAAGTACAGTACGTTCGCGAGATTGTGTCGGTGCGAGCGAGAAGGACGAAGCGCGCGCGTGCCAAGAAAACATTTTGTTCTCATCAAGGCGTGAAAAAACCCGGTCTGTTCTCTTGTACTAGCCGTACCAGCATGTGCTCTCCCCCCAATTGCATGGGCCGTAAACTGGATAGGGGAGAGTACAGCTCCGTTGGATTTGCGTCGATTTGTTGTGCTAAACGTCGTTGTTTTCGTATCGCCTGCCCCGGTGTTTCTCATGCCCACAGCAGAATCCGGACTCAATGACAACGGACGAAAACGACAGCATGCAAATGTGAAGCATGGAAACTACACAAACGGCGAAGATTGCCATCACCCCCCTTGATGCACCTGGGACGTCAAAATTGGCGTCGCCGTCCGACCAAGGTGGTCGTTGTACAGCGGCCGGCAGTGTGGTGAACTTCAAAGCAGTTCAACGAAGACTGAAAGAATCATGGACCGGATCGCTCGATGGGACAGTGATGTCGCACCAGTCCTTGTCCCGTCTGTAAATTATGTAGTATATTTTTATGTTAAACAAAAAACAGTACTGTGGAATTTGAGACTGCAATTTTGCTAAGTTCGCCATGGCGATAGGTTCTTGAATGGGAAGGTTGCATGCACCCTTGTGGCAAGAATGCCGTTTGCATATACACGGCAACTCGCGCCGACCGCGGCACAGCGACATAATCGACGAAGCTTTTGCGGGGTCATTGCTTCTAGCGCTTCGTACCTGTCATTGGCACGCAAACAACCACCAATCCAGCGTTTTGCAATGTTGATGGATACCAAGGTCTACCTACCTACACATAGAAACCAGACGCGCTTTCGTGGACACGGAATGTGACGTGTGTGTGGCCGATGCTGGATAGGTCGATGTCTTTTGTGAATCGAACGAATTCACAAATCATGGCAAACAATGGAGGAACTTGTTCCCCACACAAAACAACCACTTGTTTTTTAGCCACAGCTCCAATGGCTGCGAACTCGGCAACTCTGCGAACTCGGCAACTTGCAACTTGAAACGTGGAGAGCTCTAATTCTGCCCCAGCAGGGAAAACGCACAACGACCACACTGTAAATAATATCTTGATGTGGGCGTCGATTCTATGCGTGCTGGATAATGATAGCAGGCGATTTCGACGACGTCCCGTGCTATAAGGGATGAAAATGAGGAATAATCAGCCCAACGTCCTGTGGTTTATGCCGCACACGCCTTGGTCTCCACGACGTTTCACTAGTCAACCTCTGCCATCAATCATGTTGTATAGTTTTCTTGGCGCAACTGCTCTGTTCGGAATATACGTTCGTTATTCCCAACTCACCAGTTGTTAAGCCCAACATATACTCTACATTTCGATACTTTATTGTATTGGAGAGGCTATTTGTAAGTTTTGCCCGCAGATGGCCGCGCCAGTGAGGGTCAAACCCCATGATGGCCAGACATTGTCCGGATAAACCTGGGCAAGTGTTGTGACACACGATTCCGGTCGAATTGTGGGGGGACTGGGGCCCGTTGTATTTTTGCACCCACCTCCTTCCGTACAAACTTGTAGATGAAACGAATGGGGGGGCCAGGAACCCCTGAAATTTGAAGGGAGGCCCTACCCTACCGTCGTTTATTCATCGAGATGGGAAGATGTGTGCAATGGCTTCATTCGTCGATTCACACCGTGTGTCTCCTATGAAGTTCGTCCTCCTTGTCGCAGCCGCCGCATTCACCGCTGCTCAAGTAACCACAACAGCTAAGCCCGCCACTGCATCCACCACGGCTGTTCCGTCTGGGGTATGCAAGCTCCAATTTACGAGCGTTTGCGACACGGACAAGGAATGCGGCGATTTGAACGGGTTCAACATGACGTGCATCAAGTCTGGCGCCAATAAGCTCTGCGGTTGTTTGGGCGGTGCTGAAAAGTGCCAAATTTCCTCCACTTCGCCAGACATTGCGTACCAGTTCGATCAATGCACGGACCAACGCCGCTGCGTTCAAGGCAATGGGTTCACGGCCCTCACTGCTGAGGACACGAAGAAGGTGTGCCAAGAACCCTTGTTTTGTGTGCGTGAACAAAACCCCGACCCTGTCGCTGTCCTCAAGAGTCATTGCCACACATGCGGCAGTTGCAAAACCCAGAACGTGAGGAACAAGGAGGACGGTGTGTCGATGCGATTTGACTGTGCGAAGATCTGCCCCACCCCTGCACCTACCACTGCCGCCCCCACGGTCGAACCCAGTGACCTTCCCACCACCAAGGCAAGCAAGTCTACCACGACTGCCGCTCCAGGGTCTCCTGGTGCCAGCACCCCCGTGCCGACGACGTCGGCCGCGTCCTCGTGTGTTGCGGCCTCTCTCACGTTGGCTGTGATTGCCGCTGCCCAAGTCGCGTTGTAAGTAGACACGTTTGCGTGTTTATCAATATATGATACAAGTATTCTCGAAAATCTCGAGTGAAAGCGGTTTCTTTGTGAATGAATGCAAATCTCCTTACTTCGTGCCATCGTTGTGCAAACGAGTCATTCTCGCCACAGCAAGGTGCAATGCACCAAGCGGGGCTCGGCTCGAGTAGGTTTACAACTGTCGGTCGCAACGAGAAGGATGCCTGCAGTACCGACTCACTTACGTTGGTCGGCAGGACTGGTGGTTCGAGCGCACGATGATCGGCGGCCACTTCGCACCAGCAGTTTCGAGGTGGAATGTCGTGGAGTGTGTAATCAGCAGCGATTCGACTGCACTCGACGCTTTGCGCTCCAGCCTATCCGCCGCTACCTGCGCTCGCTACGTATTCACGACGGCATTCCGAGAGGCGGTTGAGGTATGGTCGGCCAAATCTCGATAAAAACTATTCATATTACGGCGAGCGACCTCCAATGCAATAATACACGACCGTGCCAATGCCAAACGTGATGTGGATGCAGATCATCCAAAGAAATAGGTAGAACCAGTACAGCGTCTTCTTGCCGATGCATTTACCGGTCCATGGACAATGGTGGTCCATCTGCGTGTGGATTGTCAAGGGCGATGGCATTGAAGCACACGTACCCCGTCGATGCAAACTTCACACTCGTAGCAGTGGATCGCGTTGTGCGGTCGGCGAATCTGACAATGTGCTACAACACACCACCGATGGCACGACGAACATCCATAGAGTTTCTCGTACCACAAAGAATACCAGCAGGTTCGCCGGACGCATTCACGTAGTGCTCACGGACCACCCCTGGGTCGCTGCAAGCCACAATCGAGAACGACAGAAATGTGAGGGCGATGGAGACGACGAGGAGGACCGACACCCACGACGCCAAACCAGTCGCGAAAATGAAGATCAGAGTGGGGGCAACGACGATGGAGTAGGTGATCAACATGCATCCCATGTTTGGACCGACGTGAAGCACATTGGGAAAGTAGAACGCAGTTGCACTTCGCTGACACAGAAATCGCGTCTGTCCAAACTTGGTGCAGAAGAGAGGCTTGCGCTTCTCACGTATCTCGATGGTTTCGTGCTCGGCAGACACACTCTCGTTCGACATGGGCGTTCGTATAGTCGTCACCGCCTCCGCTTGCATGCCGAGGTGCACCTACACAATCGAACAAATTTGCTGGCGTTTAACCGGGGTTTAAGCGGTTTTTCAACGACTACGTTTTTCAATAAGAGTATGTTTATACTACATGACGGTATACAGCACGGCTATTGTTTCCGAGATGGTTTTTTTACGTGTCCCTCCAATACTTCCCAACAACAACGAACTGTCTTTTTTGCAAAGTGTAAATGAATTCGCATTTCTATGGGATATTGTATGCTGAACTTGTCGTGACATGACCGTACAGTAGTATTAGGCAGATTTCGCAAACCTTGGTTTTGTTTTATTCGCATCTTATCCTTCAATATCCAATAAGTTTGCAACCAACCCGTGAAATTTTGTTGCAACTTGATGAAATTGTGGCTGGCTGTATCCGCATATCACAGGGCTATTGACCAAACCATTCGAGGATGTCAAGCGACCTGGGAATCGACAACGCTGACACAAGCGAGCAAATGGTGGAGCAACTCAGACGACTTGAGTTTGCTCACACAAGTCAACAACGATATTCCATTTAAGCAAGTAAAGAACACCACCAAAGCATGGGACGCTCTGGCAGCGAAACTGCTGGAGGTGCCAGGTTTTGGCCGCTCGTCGTTGGATGGCAAGAAGGCTGCGAACAGGTTCTACCAGCTCCTGCGTACACATCGGCGATTCCAGAACAGCTCGAAGTACATGTCTGGAGTTGAGCAGGACGAGACAGGAAAGATTGTTCTTTTGGACGAGCTAGTTCAGCTGTTCGACGAGGCCACCGACCAACGCAACGCCGACCGAGCCGCCGTCAATGCCAAGGCAATGGAAAATGAGGCTTCAGCTTCGTTTATCCGAGAACTAGCAATGACGAGCGGGAGGATCAAGTCCGTGGACACCGACGAGTCAACAGACAGTGATGTTATTGGGCAAAAACGCAACGCGGTTTTTGAATCACACGAGCGCGAAATTGAGCTCGAAAGAGAGCGGTTTTCGTTCGAGAAGTACAAGTTGCAGATGGAACTCGCTGAGCGTGAGAAGGACAGGATGGAGCGGATTCAGCAGCGTGAATTTGAGATGAAACGAAACGATGACATGATCGCGTTGCTCATTCAGTTAGCTTCGAAGTTGCCAAACGATTAAAGGTCAATACAACCATGTAATTCATTCACTCTGTCTGGTAGAACTAAATATTCACAAAGTGATGGAGGAGCAATTCCAAAGTAATCGCTGATTTGATTGCCACCATAATAGCAGCAGTGGCAATTGTTGAACAACATTGCCGCCATGATTACCTTGCCAACATTTTGAAGCATAACGTTTTGCTGCGTCTTGAAGGTAACCATCGCCCAATGTTGTTTCATAGCACCAAATATCCGTTCGACAGATTGGCGCACATTGCTCATGGCTGCATTGAAGTCACGACAACGTTGGTCCAATTGCGCGCCCTTAAAGCCAGAACAGACCCAATCAATCACGCCGTACGCAGGATCGCCGTAAATACGATACCCTTAGAAAACATGTTTGTTCTCGTCCAAGTACTCTTGCATTTTGCTTTGCCGGAGCATTGTTGTGTCGTGACGCGAACCTTCCATCGGACCCCAAAAGTGCACGCACAATCCATCGGGCGCTGTCACAGCCTGAAAATTCAAGCAATGACGACGCTTGTGCCCGCTGTACAGGAGGCGCTGGAGGTTGGAAAACGCAAGTCGAAGGCGTTTGCATTTTTGGGTGATTCGGCACGTCTCAAATTTGCTCACATGGATGAAGCCAAAAACGTTCTCCATGGGCGCTTCCTTCGACACAATAGCTCCTGAGTACATGTCGAGTCGACCAGCAACAATATGCAGACAGAAATTGAGCAGTCGATGCCACTTCACATACAATGCGTCAATTACATCGTTGAAAATACGACACAAATGACTCCCTCGATCGACCAAACGTGGCCATCATGTCGTAGTAGCGGCGCGGGAACGACATGCGATACAATGTGATGCAGAGTGCTTCAGTCGATGAACATCGGTCTCGGCTTGATGTGATAATCACATCGGGCAGGCGAAGTGCACACACCAGAGCTCGTACACCTGCAACGTCGAAGAGAAACATCAACATCGAGTCGACATCGGACAGCTTGAGCAGGTCAAAACGAACATCGGGGACAAGCGGATGTTCAATAACGCAAGCGATGAGGCGAAGAAGGCACATCTTTTGGCGAAAGTTGCCCTTTCGGCAACGCCTTAAGAGGGCATCGATTTCGACAGCAGACAGCATTCCTTGGAGTTCCTTACGTGTTTGATTCACGTCGTAGTACTTGCACACTCGGCTAAATTTGATTGGCTGCTGTAATCTGGATAAAAGCAGTTTGCAGCGGGGTGGTTGCAAAACCTGGACTCTTTTTTCCTGCACTTTATCTGTGTTCTAGAATATGGAACGTGGATAAGACAAAACCAGAAGTTGCGAAATCTGCCTGTTGTATTGTATAATTAAAATTAATATTGGCAGGACACACTCACATTCAATATTCATCGTGGTTACCAATAACCTTACTAATAAAGAAGAATTGCAGTTTTGGTTTGCGAGTACCTCACCGTATGAGATCCTCTACAAACTCATACCTTGCAGTTGACGATAAGAATACATTACCCCGGTGAGGTTTCATTCAAAGACAAAACTGCGCAGGAGAGTTTCGACTTTCTGAAGCGAGCTCATCACCGCTGCCTGGTACGTGATATGCGTCTGAACATCGTGCGGATGCAAGCCTACTTCACAAGCGAGGGCCAGACTGAAGTGGCAAAAAAGGTAGCTGCCGCTCTCGGCCGCAGTCTATATGTGGTAATGGAGGAAATGCGTGAGTACACGCAGTGCGACAGGTTTACCGCTGCTACACCTGCAGCAAACAGGATAAGGACTGCATACCACACACTCGCGATGTAATCGACCGGTCCCAAAAATTCGTGCGGGGCCGACTGCCGAACGTACGTGCACTACTCCTATTGACGTGTTGGTAATTCTTTGCGAACAAGATGTGATCACAATGCACTATACAAACAAGACCTATGAAGAATCGGTACTGCGATCTGCCCAGCGATTCTTTGCTCATCAGGTCTAAAAGCGTGGAAGCCTTTCCGGGTCTTCCACGTACCACCTCCAAAAGAAGAACGCGCTAGAACGCGACGAGTACGTTGCCAAGATGCACCCTACCACGTTCTCCGCGTCCAAGCAGTGTGCCATGTACACTGATGAGTCGTAAATTTACAAGCGTCACAATGACTGTCTTTGCGATCCCAACGACATGAAAGATATTCCTCGGCCGGGGAAAGAACTGACACCTCTTCAAGCAAAGAAGTACGAAGATGTCTTGAACGACCCGATAATATAACGCCAACGTCGAATGGCAGACATTTTCGCAGGCAGTGATTTTAAATTGTTCACACAAACCAATCCCCAATCACAGTACGGAAACTGATTTGCCAACGGTTCGTCCATCTGAAGCCTCATACATCTACCTCTTCTTCCTGCCCCGAATAAGTGCAATTAAAGCTTTCGTGAGCCGCCAGATTAACTCCCGCCTTGTAACATTTGTATGGTTACTTCTTCCTCGGAATGAAGAAGGGCGAGACTGCCAAGGTTCGTGAGGTGATGAAGAGCATTGGTTATTGAGTCAGACGGTTCGACGAGACTGGTGATTTTAGTCGTCGGAAGTCTGAGGTGACAAGAATCAACAGCCAAGCGCAGAATGCTTGGTGAACAGTGACTATGTCTGTTACAGTGAATTTGGAAAAATCTCGCAAGCGTTGTACCATCATTACATTTGCAATGGGATTACTAGAATATGATTTCACGCACAAACCAGAAGTAGAATTGCTACTTAGCGGCCCTCCGCTTCGAGTCGTTTCTGATGCAGGCTGGATGCGGACTTGTTGACTTGCTTATATGGTCGTCACAGTTGAGTGCACCTGCAGCAAGAATGCAACAACCAACAACCTCACAACCTATTGAATCCAGTGGCGAACTCACCTAATCTGCCGAGTTAACCTTTATTCAGCATCAGGCAGCTGTCATTGAAAGCTTCGTGGAGATTACGCGGCGGTAAGAGGAGAGACTGAAAGCGCCAGAAGTGGCAATGGAATCCACATGGCGCTGCAACGGCAAACATGCTGGCCAAGCCTTCAAATAGGCAACGGAAATCATCAATGCTGCGTTTGCAATCGAAGTGGTGAGAGTGGTATGCACATGTACTGAGAATACACGCTGGGGTTGTTTCCAAGCAAAACATGTACGTATCTCGACATGTTGTGGTCTATTTTACCCGATGGATTTGCCATAGAGGAAAGCTCCCCAAATTACAGAGACGTCGTAACGAATGTTGGAGCAGCAGCCGTGAGAACTGACCTTGCTTCTAATAGCAAACACGGCGTTATAACCAAGGGTGCAAGCGCAGTTCTGAAAGTACTACAAACATATCATCGCCAGGTTTACTCAAGCATTTCGCGTTAGAGTGAACCCCGAAAAAAGCCGACACCCCCAAAAATGATCAGTTTTAAAAACTTCTGCAACCTGTATACTGCAATACCAAGTCAGAAATTCCATTCGTTTTGACCAATTGTAGTGCAGATACAAGAAGAACTGTGATTGACTGAATGAAATTCTTCTAGTTATAACCAATCATGTTGGACTAACTCATGAAATTTAAATAACGTCGGCTCTCAGTGATCGGCCGAACTCTCAGTGATCAGCCGAGCTCTATCACCCAATAGAATCGCAAGAATCTTGTGATTGGATAAAATTCGTTACTCCAACAAATAAACCCCTCATAATTTTATGGTGGGAATATACATTAGAATTCAGAGGCAA